GCCCAGGTCTGCGCTGACTGGGTTCCTCCTCCTCGCACCAGGGGCACCACCTCCGGGCGCAGCTTCGAGCCCGTCCTGGCCGTCCTGCTGTTCTCCTGCACGCTGGCCCTGCACGCCCGGCAGGTGGACGTCAAGCTGCGGCTGGACTACCTCTGGGCCTCGCAGGCAAGATGGGCCCTTCCTGCTCCCGGGGGGTGGGGGGGCGCGGAGGAGCCCCTTGGGAGCGGGCGTCAGGTGGGCGGTCCTGGCTGGATGAGGGGAGGCAGCACAGCAGGGCTAGAGGGACGGCTCCATGAGCCCTGAGGTCAGAGTTTACTGGTTGGTGAGTAGTGAGCTCCCCGTCCCCTAAGGCATTCCGGCCACCACTGGTCTCCTTTCTGTCCCTGGGGGTTTGCCCGTTGGTTTGTTCTCCAACCTGCACGCTGAGTTCTGGCTGTTCTCAGCAAACCCAGCTGTGTGAGGCCTGACCCTGACCAGGCCTGTGGGGAGACCGCGGACTGCAAGGCGTTGGCCCAGCCCTGAGCTCACGCCACACCGGGAAGCCGGGCTCTAGGCAGGCGGGGCTGTGGGGCAGGGATGCCCGTTCCCACTGCCAACGGGGAGCCGGGCCAGATCCCAGAACCCGGGACAGGGCGGCCACAGCCTCGGCCACAGGACCGGCAGCCCCTGTGACCGTGCTGGGAGGGACTCGGCCGGCTCCCCCGGCTCCTGCTCGCGCTGGGTCGCACTGGCTCGCGCTGGCTCGCGCTGGCTGTGCCAACAGGAAATGGGTGGCAAGGGGGCCTGTTGGTCTAATTTCCTTCTAACTTGGATCCTGTCCTTTTAAAACTCCACTTTTTCTCCAGCCACTCCCCACTTCACTTGTCTGTAAATTCATAGCCTTCTGAAAAAAATAAGCTAGCCTTTTCATAAAGTCAAATGGTCGAATTCTGTTTCTCCTCCTTGAATGCATTATGGCACCCTGACTGCACCCCTTTTTAGAGCTCTCCTCTCTCTTCTCAGTTTATTCTTTTTTTGAGCAAACACCCGTCTTGGGCCCCCACTGGTGAGGCCCTCGCCCTGAGAGGCGGCCCCGGGGGTGCTGTGCACAGACCCGGGGACGCCGTGCACAGACCCGGGGGCGCCATGCACAGACCTGTGGGCGCCGTGCTGCAAGGACAGTGGGAGAAGCGCCCGCACGGCCCGTGACCCAGCGGAGCGAGGACACTGCCGATGGAGTGTTGTCCTCGGACGGCGGACTGACCTGTGGGCAAAGTCACAAACAATTCCCAGCTTAGGGCACAGTCCTCTTAGCATAATTAGGCTTGACCTTATGACGCTTTCCAGATCCTTCCTAGGTAGCTAATGGGCTGTGGGAGGTGCAGCAAGTGCTGCCAAAACAAGTGAAACTCACAAGAACGGTATAACCATGGTGACCACTACCTTCTTTACCTCTGGCTATAAAATAAAGGCTCAGCTTGCCTCTGGATCTCTCTCTGTGGCCTCAGCCAGGCACAGGAAAATCCACCCAGTCCCAGCTTATTCTCTCGGTCTCAGCCGCCGCCTCACATCAGCAACGCGGCCGGGCAGCGGGGACGTCACCACGGCCGCAGCTCACCTTCTCGCGAGGAGTTTCCCCATCCGAGCGCCCGCGTGGCCGCCCTGGAGCACCGAGGAGGAGGACCAGGTGGCGGGACACAGCCTGCACTGCCTGACGGTGGACCTGACGCCGGGACGACTGTGAGTCACGGCAGGGGGGAGCGCCCACAGCGTGGAGACGCCGGGCAGACGGGCGCGTCCCAGCCCGAGTGGACAGAGGGACAGCGAGAGACTCCGTCGCGCTCCTCGGAACAGCGCACGACATTCAAAATCGATTTTAAAGGGAGAGGAAGGGAGAGGGAGAGAGACATCCATGATGCGGGAGAATCATGGATCTGCGGCCTCCTGCACGCCCCCCACGGGATGGAGACCAGAACCCCAGCACGGGCCCTGACCTGGTTCACAGGTTGACATTCAACCACCGAGCCGCACGGCCGGGCTCACAGGGCCCGATTTAAAACGGGTGAACTGTGTGTGTAGAATTTTCCGTGCACGGTTTCCGGATGGCGTGGGCTGTGTGGCGCCGGAACCCCGGCCGGGGAACAGCGGGGGCCGGGGGCGACTGGGCGGCTTCTGCTCCTCAGCTACGAAGACGGACACTGACCACATGTCGGCAGCCACGCTGCACCTGCGGCCGCGTTAAAACGAGACGAGGTGGGAGGCAGCAGGTCGGTCGCTCGGAAATCCGATGAGCCGTAAACGGGTAGGAACAAACGGAGCTGGAACCAGAGCGGCTCTGGGAAAGCCGGGAAGCGAGATCGAAGACAAGCGAGCGCCCCTCCGGCCGCAGCGTCTTCGCTGAAGTGTCAGCGCTGAGGGTTGTGCTCGGAGAGCAGACCTCTGTGCCATCAGTAAAGACACGAAGTGTCGTTGAAAGACCTTCCTCTCCACCCTCCTCCAGCACCTCCGTGTGTCTGCACACGTGCGGACGGGTCGGCTGTGCCGTCTCAGGAGGGCTCCCTGCCTGGCTCTCCCCGCGTGGGGGCCGCCCGGGCGCAGGGCCCTGGGCTGGTTGGGTCTCGTGGCTGCCGGGCTCCTCCCCTCGCCTGCGGCCTGTCCACCTGCTGCGAGGAGCAGGAGGAGGCCCCTGTTGGCACCTGCTGACAACGCACGGCTCCTGGGACCTCGCACGGGTGTTTTCCCAGAAAACCCCCGGCAGGAGCGGTGCCCGGTGCCCCTGTGGGAATCGCCGCGTCTCGCTTTCGGCTGCAGAATCGCTCTGTGAACCGTGGCCGCGTGCCGCCGACCAGCTGGACGGCTCTGACACCGCCACGGAGGGGACGCTCCGGCTCACGGGGTAGCACGTGCCCTCCGACCCCTCGACACGAGGACCGGCCTTTGGAAACGGGCATTTCACTCCCCGTGGACGGAGAGGAGGCTGGAGCCGGCGCCTGGCAGGTGCCACCAGCCCAGGCTCCTGAGGCCAGGCCCCGGCCACCGAGGCGCCGTGTGTGGCGTGACCACGTTCAGGAGCGCGGTGCCCGAGGACGCCGCACACGGGAGGTGCCGCGAGCTGAGCTGCTCTCGCGTGGGGCTCTGCCAGGAGGGAAGCCGGGGCAAGTGAACCACGGATCCGGCGGCTCCCGTGCCCATGGGCAGAGCCCACCACTGGCTGCCGTTGCGTGGCCGGTGGCGCTGGGAGCCCTCCCCTGGCCGAGGGTGGGCCCTGGAG